ACTTAGCGCTGTTTTCCAAGCCAACGTAGAGAGATTAGTAGTGAGGAAAAGTCTGAGAGAGTCTTGGTAAGAGTGGTAGGCGGCTGTGGATGAGGTAGTAGCGGCGGGCGTTGACAAAGAAAAGCACATGCTGCTGCGACGATGAACACCAAACGCCAATGGTCATGTTAAAATTGTTTGCTGTTTGCGAGGCGTGGTATTCCATTGTTGAGCGCAGCCCCAATGCTTAAGACACCCCTAAACCTACTGGCTGGTCTTCTTCGCCATCCTGTGCACTGATTCCATTCCCGACCAATTCAGTGAAATCCAATCCAACCTCCCTGAGCATCTCTGCATGTTCATGTGCCAGTCTCAAGCACTCGTTCCATACATTGCCACCTTCATCCACGCTACTTAGCTGCCTTTTTAATAGTATGTTGAATTGGTCGATATGCTCTTTCGACCACTTGACGCACGCGGACATGAGCTGTTGTGGGAAGCACTTCTGATACATGTCGACGGTGTTCTTGATGATGGTGAAATAGATGTAGGAGATCTGGAAGATATAGTCTGGGAGATTGCCTTCGAATATGCATTGCCTGAAAGAGTCAGTGGGTGATGTGGACTTTGATAGAGTGGAGACATACCGCGTGCGAGTTCTGATCAGGTTACCGCGAGCTTCCAGATAGGCTTCTCGTGCGCGGTCTTCGAAGCCTAGTTGGACTACCCAACTCACGTGTTGCCTGACAGACGTGAACCAGTTGTTGTGCTCTACCATGTGCTTGACTAGAACATTCGCAAGCTTCGCAGCGCGCTCATTGACCTTGTAGGTAACGATTGTCTTGGCCATCTCATTGCTTCTAATGTTCTTTGCAAGTGCCTTGAGCCGATCCACTTTCAGGACTGCTTCCTGGAAATGTTGAAGCGCGATCTCAATGTCTAAATCGTCTAGTTGACTTTCTACCCACCGGATATTGCGTTGTTGTCCGTCAATGTCAACAAAAGTACTGACTTGTTCGTTGTTGATGCCGTCTGAGAGATTGTCCAACAACTCTGTCCTGTTCATGAAAGCAGGGTCGCGTGAAAGAAGGTGGCTGTAGGAGTCTTGCGTTCGGTCTTTCTCCTGCACATCCGCTTCTTGGCTCTTGCGCAGGTCATCCTTAGTCTTGCGGAAGGTAGCCACGAAAGCGGACTTATCACCACTGTCTTCCTTCTTGGTGTCGTATGTGAAGGATTCAGAGCCAGCGCGTATGATGATGCGCTCTTCCGGCGTCCTAATCACTTGGGTATCTTGTAGGGGAAAACATCGCTGGGCAGTAAACTCCATATTCGCTCTGTTGCCATCACGCTGTCCGGGAACATCGTTGCGTGCCTTTTTCTCTGATGCGATAAGGAGATGATCATTCAGTAGTAGTAGTCTCACTCTTCGTCTTGCCTTGAGCGTTGCAGAGTCCAGTTCGAACCATCTCGTTGACTTCCACACGATATATCGTCCAGGGATAGGTGGTAGATACTTCTGCGAGCCCTCGACGTCCCTGTAAAGCTGTTGTAGCTGGCCTGCGCGCAGTTGATTCAGATCTCCGATCGAACTTCGGTTAGCTCTTCGCGAGCTCGCAGTGTCATTGGCGGCACCCGTAGCTGATGCTGTCTGCTCCAAGGTAGTTGTCAGGTCAGACATCAACTGACGAAGGGTCCGCATTTCGCCCTTGAGCTTCTCTGCTTCTTTACTGATCTTGATAAACTGTGTGCGGTTTTGGTATACGTTATGCTGGAGGTCGAGCGATGTACGATGCTTTGTCTTGCGCAGCTCGTCCTGGTAGCGGCTGATGTCTGCTTCAGAGGCGTCTGCGAGGATAGTTGATACATCTGTGCGAGTCAGCATGTAGGCAACCAAATCACCATATGTCGGCCTTACATCGCTCTACTTCCAGGTTGGGGTCCCGCAATGCGCGCGGGTCGACTTGCAGGACCCGTCCATTGGAGCTTCCGGGCGGCCGTCCCTCTCTCGTCTGGCTCTTCTCTCTGTACTGAACGGGCATTTGTGGCATCTGCGGCATAGGCTCCCCATTTCCGAAATCGCTAGGAAGCGTCGTGATCTTCTGGGAGTACCTCCTCTTGACGAGATCCGCCGTCTTATCTGGCCGCTGCGGTCTTGGCTGTGATGGAGGGCCATCCTGTCTGGTCCTCGATCGGCTGGATTCGTTCGAAGGGCGCCCGGAGCTTGGGAGTGAAGCGGCGGCAGCAGCAGCGACGCCTGCGGGCATGGGCGCACTAATCTGTCGCGGCGCGCTGATGGTGGGCGGCGGCGCGTTCTTCTTGCTCTCATCCCCCCGCTTCTTGCGGAGGGAGATGCCCTTCTGTTTCTCCGACATCTTGCCTGCAAGATCCCCCGATTGTTGTGGTGTAGGAGCGCAGCACTTTATGCAAGGATGAAACGGAACAGGTGCCCTACAGTCTACATCAGCATGAGAACGAAAGCTAGCCAAACCCCAACGCAATGTAGGCTTCCAGGTTATTTACCTCTAACACTTGTCCAATTCCTGCGTCGAAAAGGCCGGGAGTGGAGTTGTGGTCAGTGGTAGCGAGGGCAGCTGCGCCATGAGTGCGCGTCCGTGGATGTTGACAGGTACTCGTAGAGCCCCGTCATGCGTGGAGCCGCGGTCTCGAGTGCGAGCTCGGGCCCACTTTGGTGAATCGTGCCTTCCCTGAACACTGAGAAAAAGTTAAACACCACACCACATCACCGCCATCACCTGCCGCCAATTCAAAGGGCTCCAGCTGCTCCTTCCCCGCCTGATTGCGCTTTTCACTCCCACGAATCGCACCACCATCATGTCCAACTCGTCGTTAAAACCATCGACCATTGCGGCCATTAGCGCCGGCACCATCGTCACAGGCCTTCTCGCATACGCCGCCTACTTCGACTACAAGCGACGAAACGACCCGGGCTTCCGCAAGCAGCTCAAGAAGGAGTCGAAGCGAACAGAGCGGGCGGCCAAGGAGGAGGCCGAGGCACAAGGCGCCGAGCAGAAGAAGGCGATCCGAGAGGCGGTAGAGCGGGCAAACGAGGAGGGCTTCCCCAAGGACCCCGAGGAGGTGGAGGCGTACTTTATGCAAGAGGTTGCGCAGGGAGAAGGAATGGTGCAGAAGGGTACGGTTATGTTTGGCCCTCTTGGTGGGACGTGGTGCTAATTGTTTGCCAGGTGCGGACAACGTCGAGGCGGCGCTATGCTTCTACCGCGCATTGAAGGTCTACCCCAACCCGCGGGAATTGATCAACATCTACGACAAGACCGTTCCCAAAGTACGTTGCTGCTCTTCGCCTTGAATTGGCGACGGCCCGCTAACACCCGACAGCCCGTCCTCGACATTCTCGCCGAGATGATCGCAGTTGACACGTCAATCCCCGTCGGCGGCAGCAAGACGCCGTCTGAGGCTGGCTCGGCAGGCGACCTCGAGTAAAACACTGCGACGATAGTACTTCGATAAATTCAGCAAGCATTCTTGGACCCCGCTCCACCTGATAACGGCCCCTGTAATATTCTTGTATATGGATCAGCATCGGCGCAGTCGGTCAATTCTACGGCCGGCGTTCTGGTTGAGCATGATTCATCTGGCTGGGGCGGCGTTGGGATAGATGCGGGCTTCCAATGCATACAATCCAAACAGCACTCGGCATCTCTCCATTGACGTCATGCAGTGGTACGCATGGGTACGCACTGGTATACTACAGATTACGTTTCCGACGTTAAGATGCATGCGGCCCATGCCCGAACGCCTTGCTGACAATGACTTTCTCAGACTTGCAAAACATCATCCCAAATAATTACAGTACGCCCTTAAGCGAATGAACCGAAGTTGATTGCCAAACGGCTATGTCTTGTTTAACATGAGCACGAGTTTTCTTGCGGTGGCTGGCTGGGGTTGATGTTCACGTCGATCACTGCATCTTGGATTAGCATGGCGTTCACCGCAACAATGTGTCCGTCGAGACGTACTCTGACTCTGCCCTTGTTGGCCTTCGCCCTCCATGCCCGGTAACGCCTGCGCAATTCTCTTGAACAGCGCCTTTACGTTGTGTCCGACCTTCGCGCTCGTCTCGATGAACATCAAGTTGTTCTTCTTGGCTTCTTCTTCACCCTGCGCCGTTGTAACCTCGCGCTTGTCGTTCAAGTCGGTCTTGTTGCCCACGAGCACAATAATGACATCGTTGCCGCGCTCGCCTCTGACATCGTCTACCCATTTTCTTGTGTTTTCAAACGTCTTCTTGTTTGTGATGTCGTATACAACCACGGCTACGCTAGAATCGCGGATGTAGGAGGGAATCAGGGAGCGGAATCGTTCCTGGCCGGCGGTATCCCAGAGCTGCAGGCGGACAGTCCGATCTTCGAGGTACATGGTCTGCGGCGAAGATTAGATGTTGCACTGGATTGTCATATCTATAGCGGCTTTGCAGCGAGCATACCTTGCTTAGAAAGTCGATGCCGATGGTGGCTTGGTAGGTGTTGTCGAACGAGTCGTACATGAAGCGGGTAATTAGAGACGTCTTTCCCACTGCGAAGGTAGATTAGCACGTGTGTCGCAAACCGCTATATCTGCGATAGTATGCATACCACTTTGTTCGCCCAGGAATACGAGCCTGCAGCCGGTTAGTATACGAAGTTGGTCTCCGCCGCGGAGGACAGCTCACTTGAACTTCTTGAGCGGGTTTGAGTAGCCCGACTGCGCCATTGTGACTGGAGGTTGTAGATTTTGAGAAAATCAGAAGTCTCGAAATGTGTTATCGCAGAGGATCAGAAGCAATATCCCGTCCGTGTGTCTTGGTGGGGTGTCGTGTCTGAATAGGAGTGTCGGTCGAATCTGGAGGCCTGGCACCCTGGCGGCCAACACCGACTACCGAGTGCAGCAGGGGTCCCGGTGGGTCCAGCCCGTGCGCCGCTTTGCTGGTCGGAATTTTGGGTCGAACTTTTTGCGACAACGAACAACCCCACAACTCTTCGAGCACGGCAACTATAGACACCATGGCGGACACCGAAGCAGCGCCAGCGCAATACAAACAGTCGAGTCGCAAGGGCAAGAAGGCTTGGCGCAAGAACGTCGATGTCACAGAGATTCAATCCGGCCTAGAAGATGTGCGCGACCAGATCATTCAAGGGTATGTTCCAATCACAACACACAGTCGATGCATACACTAACGCCTCTACAGTGGTGTCATCTCTGAGAAGACCGCAGACGAACTTTTCGCCGTCGATGTCCTTGGATCGGCTGAGATCCAAAAAGAGGTCGCGAAACGACACAAGCCTCTCAAGGTCGACGAGATCCTCGCTAAGCGCTCTGCCGTTCCCGCCGTATCCACCCGGAAGCGACTCTCGGAAATCACCGACGATGGCAAGAGGAAGAAGGCAAAGGTGTCAGGCAAAGAATACGACAGGCTGAGGGCGATTGCATACGGAGGCGAGCAGACCAAGAAGGACGTCGTACAGACTGGCGACGCCGCTTACGACCCATGGGCAGTGCAAGAGGTCAAGGAGGATCCTCGTTTCTCATACCTTGAGAAGAAGAAGCCCAAGGTCGAGCCGAAAACACTGAAGCACGCACCCATCTCGCAGGCAAAGACCGGCAAGGCCATTCCCTCAGTCCGCAAACCTACCGGTGGAAAGTCGTACAACCCCCTGCTGGAAGACTGGCAAAACGAGCTCATGCGCGAATCCGACAAGATTGTCGAGGTTGAGAAGAAGCGCCTGCAAGAGGCCCGCGAAGAGGCCGAGCTTATGGAGAGAGCAGCTGCTGAGACAGAATCTGACTCAGGCGAGGAGAGCGTGTGGGAGAGCGAGTGGGAAGGTTTCAGTGACAACGAAGATAAGCAAGCCAAGAAGAAGAGGCCAGAGAGGAAGTCGCTGTCACAACGGAACAAGATCAAGAGGAGAAAGGACGCGCAAAGAAAGGCGGTCCACGAAGCAAAGATGAAAGCCAAGGAGCAACAAGTCCAGGAGATCAAGAGATTAGCCAAGAGCGTAGAAGAGAAGGAGAAGGCGAGAGCCGCTGTGAAACAAGCTCTTGAACAGAGGAATGCAGAGCTCGCGGATGAGGAGGACGATGGCGAAGAATTGGAGCTGAGGAAGAAGCAGTTCGGCAAGGCACCGTAAGTACCTATTCACGTTTCATACATCGAACATCTACTAATCGACCACAGTCTACCAGAGGCCCCGCTCGAAGTCGTTCTACCAGACGAGCTCCGCGACTCTCTGCGTCTTCTCAAGCCAGAGGGCAATCTGCTCAAGGACCGCTTCAGGACTTTTATGCTTCAGGGCAAGGTCGAAGCCAGAAGACAGATCCCATACGCCAAGCAGAAGAAGTACCACGTATCGGAGAAGTGGAGCTACAAGGACTGGCAATTGCCCAAATAGATAGATATGGACCGACGGGCCAGTAACGACACCCGTGTCGATCGGCGAATGCACTTCTTTCATGACCACTATAATTTTGTCTCACTTGCAGTTATATGGTGATTCCCTAACTCACACACAATGGTAGCTGGTTGGGCACAGGCCGCTGCATCCCCCACAAGGCGTGAGATGCCTGTCACAGGACAGGTCAAGGTCGAATTATCATCGGCGCAAGCTACGAACGGTATCAATTGCATGTTCCTTGTAACGCTTGTCTGATCCTGACCTTGCCGATTTGTACCACATGCAACAAAAAGTCAGAGCGCGTCTTCCCGTCCTAGCCTCACTGTTATAGTGGGCCACCTAAGCATTCTATCAGTAAAGAGGCAGAGACTGTGTCACCGGCAGGCGTGTTTGCTACATCGAGACGTTATCTGCTCGATTTGTATTAGCTTACGGGTAGAGACATGCTCTCACCTCCTCCGTCTTCGCCCTCCACCAAGGCTCCCTCACTCCTCATCTCTGCTCGCAAGAACCATTCAGACAGAAAGACCCAGTCACGACGCAACAGTATGGCAAGCCAAGGTGAGTTACCCGCTTTCCTGATCATGTCACTTTGCTGACCTTCCACAGGCCCTTTCCGATGCTCGAACTGCAATGGTATCGAAGAACCCGCCAATCTTCTCAAGCGCTGCAGCGGCTGCAAGGTGCTCCGTTACTGCTCTCTATCTTGCCAGAAGGCGCATTGGAAAGATGTCCACAAGCACCGGTGCAACAAACCCTGTAACCACAAGGATGAGAACTGGCCTGAACAACACATGCCTGCACGCATCTACCCGCACAACACTCACCTCAGTATTGCGTCTGTGGAAGCATATCATGGGGTTATGCCTGATCTTATCAAACAAGATGAGCCCATGACAATTCGCGAGCAGAAAGCTTCTGCTTCTGACAAGATTCTCCTGAACAAAGACGAGCCGACAACCTACAAGCTCCTCATCGAGAGCTTCCGCGCTTGGGATGAGACAAAGCGTTGCAGCCTCGGAACTATGATAGACCCACGCGACTCGTATATGGACGCCACCGTCAAGTACAACACCGGCTACGTCTTCCAAGGACTACTTGAGCACATCGCCGATAGCGAGAAGACCGTGGGGATCCTTCCTGCATGGTGGAATGCAGACAAAAGGCACGCATGCATCGAAGTCGCAAAAAAGATGTATCACTGGGATGACCTTCCTGAGGCAGGTGTTCCCAAGGAGGTGAACGAGTGGCGCCGGTATGGGGGCCCGTCTCTGAGATCGCCTTTGCGTGCGCTGGGCATGAAGATTGAGGGGATCGATACCATTGAGGCGGTAAAGCTGGGATACTACAAAGTAAAGAAATTGCCTGACGGACGCATCGTTGTCCATAACGAGGCCGATTTGAGTTACCTGGAATAAGTGGTTTCACAACCATTATGTACTCTGAGATCGATTCCGGGGTGTCGGTAGTGCGCAAGGGTTCCACATCACGGCTGCGAATAAATGTAACTAAAGAGAAGTTGAAAATTCGTCTTCAAAATGTCGAGTCTAGATTGCAAAGTGATCAAGTGAAGGCAGAAGGACATGACGGCAGAGCAGTACCCGGTATCCTGGATTGTGGGGTATGCAGCGCACGGGCTTCTACGCGTCATCTCACGAGCGAGACAGCTTTGACACTTCGATCTACGCGACTTGTCGGTGGTGACGAGCTCGTGCCTTGACTCATTACTCCTATTCTCGATGTAATCTCTTAATCCCCAATGCGGCTCTATCCCGACAGACGAACCTAAGCATGCCATCCTCCTCCCGCCGCACTCAGCACGAACAAGCATCCAACAGCGCCGACGAAAGCTCTCCCAAGCTTACGCCCTCTCTACGCTCCTCACATTCCTCTGATGGCCTGTCCATGATAAACGAGCCGAACTCTTTCGAACTTCGCACAATTACTCCACAAGATGAACCCGCATCGAAAGAGGGGCTGGGAGAGGAAGACGAGGGCTTCCTTCCTAGTACACGGCGCGCCTCTTTGGACTCTGTGCAGAGCTATGAGTTGTATACCCCAGATGAAGATCGCACAGTGCTCAAGAAGCTTGATCGGCGGCTAGTCGCGTTCATGGCCTTGTTGTACATGCTGAGCTTCTTGGATCGGTCGAGTGAGTACTTTCTACGCCTAGAAGACTCGTAGGGGAGATATGTACGTCAGATGTGCGTAAAGCAGGTCTGGTAGGCTCTGCGACACTTGCTGATGAACCTGATAGATATTGGCAATGCGCGCATAGCTGGTCTGGCAGACGATCTGAAACTCAGCTCCACCCAGTATGAGTGGTTACTGTGGGCGTTCTACATCACGTACATTCTTTTCGAATGGATGACACTACTGTAGGTGGTCGCCAGTTGTACATGCTGCGCCGCTAATTTGGATAGGTATCGTATCGTGCCGCCGCATATCTATATATCTCTATGCATCCTTTCTTGGGGCATAGTTGCGTCACTCCAGGCAGTAGCGACATCCTTCGGGTTCCTCCTTGTGCTGCGAGCCCTACTTGGCATCAGCGAAGCAGCATTTGGACCTGGCGTACCCTTCTACCTATCCTTCTTCTTCCGCCGATCCGAGCTCGCCTTTCGAACCGGACTCTTCATCAGCGCCAGCCCCCTTTCAGCATCGTTCGCCGGGGCGCTGGCCTACGTCATCACCAAAGTCGGTGAACATGGCCCGCTTAGTCCTTGGAGACTACTCTTTCTTCTGGAAGGGTTTCCTTCCGTATTGATTGCCGTCTGGGCATGGGACTTTGTACCAGATGGACCAGGACTGGCGAAGTGGCTAAGCCCCCGACAGCGCGAGGTTGCAGTAATGAGGCTGAGGTCAGAAAAGGAGAGCGAAGATGAAGACCAAGAAGAGAAATACCAGGGTGGACGAAGAAGAGGACGTGTGGACTTCCACGAAGTTCTACAGACCCTAAAGGATCCGAAGTCTTACCTGACAGCGCTCATGTTCTTTAGCTGTAACGTGGCCTTTAGTTCCATGCCTGTGTTCCTGCCGACCGTAATCCGAGATATGGGCTGGGAGTCCATCACGGCTCAAGGACTTTCAGCTCCGCCATACCTCTTCGCTTTCGTTGTCGTCCTCACGACTGCATATTACTCCGATCGATTACAATCACGCTCAACGTTCATCATGCTTCACTCTCTCCTGGCAACGATCGGGTACGGTACCATTGCCATTTCCGGATACCTACAGTCTGACAACACAATGATCCGCTACATCGCACTCTATCCTGCCGCCGCAGGCTTCTTTAGCGCTATCACGATAATCATTACATGGACACTCAACAACCAAGAGAGCGACAGCAAGAAAGGTACCGGGATGGCGCTTTTGAACATCATTGGGCAGATGGGCCCGCTGGTTGGCACGAGCATCTTTCCGGATGACGACGGTCCCTACTACGTCAAGGGCATGAGTATATGTGCGGGATTCATGCTTCTGGTCGGTATTCTTGCTGCGATATTGAGATGGGTTCTGATAAGAGAGAATCGAAAGCTGAACAATGGTCGCAGTGCAGAGTATGCTGGTGTGCCGCTGGATGAGGGTGGGAGCATGAGAAGAGAAAGGAAGAAGTTTACATTCATGCTCTGAATCGTGGTTGAGAAAACACCATATGTTCTGTACTTTTCGTATTGCATACGATGACTCTGCATATCCTTGATCTGCTCAACACCCTCGATCACGGGAACGATCGAGGTCCCCTACCTGTACGATGCCCTCTTACATTCGCCCTAGGCCAACTATTTGCGGGCCTCTTCAATTGCCCCATAGCACCGTTCTGCTGCAGCAGTTGCTCTTGCACATTGGTCGGTAAGTCGGCCTCGAGTGCTGCTCCTTCGGCAAGGGTGGTTGAGTGGGTTTGTGACTGAGGGGCTGGTGGCGAATGTGTGGGAGCGGTATGCACAGGTATTGGTCTTGACCATGGTGTTATTGGTTGTGGATAGAATGGCGTATGGTATTCTCTACCGCCCTGTCCAGGCCAAGTATAATCATAGGAATGTGGCGGTGGTCGAGACGGTCGAGACGATCGAGATCCACGGTGACAGCAGTAGCACATCATCATTCCGATGATAATGCATGGGATGAACACGGCGATGAGGATGATACCTGCTTTGTCTCTTTCGCTCATGACGGAATCGAGTACTTGTACCCTGACAATTGGAGATAATATGCGACAAGGTAAAGAGCCTAAAGAAAAGAAAGTGAGATAGTATTTGTGCACCCTCAACGTGGGCATGTTGGACATGTTATGCCTCCATTGATTGTAACGAGCGTTTACTGACAACATATCGAGAGTTCGAACGGGCCTCGATAGGCAGTAAACCACTACCATTGCGTCCGGAAACACATTCTCTATTAGCCTTGGGTACTCCATCTGTTCAATCTAGTGCGTCGCAAGCCGTGAACGCAACTCCTATACCATCCCGTCTAGAAAGTAAAAGATCTGTGCAGTCTCCTCGGTCTTCTCGGCCTCCTCGCTCGGGCCATCATCTCCCTTTCCCGTTGTCCCCCGATGTGCTCACGCGTAAGATCCAAGCCGTCAAACGCTGATTCAGGTAGATCCAGTGAGCCTTCATCCACCCACCCCTACTTTCGCGGTCTAGCCATCTCGGGTGTAATATCCAACCCATCGTACATCTCATTCAGCATATGGTGTTCTCTTGTTTGCCTCCTAGAAGGTACGTATCTTGTAGTGGTAGAGTGTACTCTTGGAGCGTATCGAGGAAGACCGAAGTCGTATCTGTATGATGCATATCTCTTGGACCGGGTCTTGGACGCTTGCTTGAAACGTGGATTGTAATATGCTGGTTCGAACGGCGGGGATCTATAATCAGACAAGTCTCTATCCACTGTGTATGATCGTGTTCGCCTTTGACCCTTTCCTCCGCGCTGGAGATGGCAGTGGCAACGAAGACATAGAGCGGCAATGGCTATGATCAGGGGGACGAACACAGCTACGAAGATGACGCCTATGAGATCTCTGTCGTTCATCGCTTACGTTCGATGTGTAGCAAAGCTCAAACGGTGACGGTAGGACATTGACCACTGGTGTTATAACAAGAAGCCACAAAATGGCGGTTATACAACCAAGTCTACGGTCAGGTTTGTCAATGTACTCGTGTCGTTTGGTAAACCGGACATTCGTTGTGATGTGCAAACCCTGGGCTTGTTGACGCATCTGTTACGGAACGACAGATTTGTTGGGAAAACATCACAATGTTTGTGACAGACAATTGATGCTAACGTGCGTAGGGACTGCCAAGTTGAAATGTCAGTAAAGAAATTGACTATCTAAACTAATTATATCGTACAAACTTAATCGAGACCACTGAGCGCCTACCGCATAGACAGCTTTGTGGGCAAGCCTCATTAACCTTAGACGGCAAGACCTAGTGCAGCGCCCGAAGCGTTTGCTCGACTGCGATACCCAAGCCTCCAACACCCAAAACAGTCCACAACCATTTGTTGCTTAGCTCATCTACGCTCGGCCAGAAAGCATTCTTATCCGCTCGGAACTTCTCCAATTCGCGGAACTTCTCGGGGTGAGATGCGGAGTATCGGCGTTCTTGGTGTTTCTCTTTCTCGGCGTCGCCGCCAAAGAAGCGGAGGAAGGCGTAATTCGCGGCGGGGCCTAGGAGTTCGATAGGGGCAAGCATGTCTGAGCCGTAAAGCATGACGATGAAGGAGATGTGTACGAGGGCGTCACCGAGGTAGCTATACGACATTAGCGAATGACATGGACTCTGGAACAGGGGTACATACTTGGGGTTGCGGACAATGCTCCATACTCCTTCGCGCATGATGCCCTTATTGCCTTCGGCCTTGAACTGATCTAGCTGGTAGTCTGCAAGTGTCTCCATCGCCAATCCTGAAGAGAACAAGCCGACAGCAAACATCTGAACAAAGGGGTGATAGCCTGTCATGACAGCACCCTCGTGTCGGAATGGTGCGGTAAACGGCAGACTGATGAGCATCTGGAAGAAGGCCTCGGGTATGAAGACTTTGAACAACGCGCTGTTCCAGAAGCCCTCCTCCTTCTTGACTTCGGCATATCGTGGGTCGTCCTCGCCTCGTTGGATGGAACGATTAACGATGCGGTAAAAGAGACGTCCTCCCCATAATGTAACGCCCGTAAGGATAACACGCTCGTGCCATGATAGACGACTGAACGCTTGCGAGACGGTGTAGCCTTGAGCAAGACGGCGTCCAACGGCAGACCACCAGGCGTTCACGACCTGACCACTGGGCCAAAGCCAGTCCTTGGCTTCGACGCGATTTGTGTATCGCGCAGCTCCGTACGCAATGATGGCCAAGCCAGAATGCAGGGTGAGTGATGGGACAAGCGTGTCTTTCAGGATGCCTACATCGAAAAGTGAAGCATTGTGGACATGGACCTTGGAATGAGTCGTATCCACATAAGCCGCAGGTACTGAGCCCGCTGAGCGGTTGGTGGCGGGTCTTGGGCTGCTTCCCGAGCCGGGCTGCAGGTAGAAGTCGTGAGGTTTCTGTTCAGCAACTTGGACGCGAACGTCCGGAGGACGCGTTGGGTCGCTCGACGATGAGCTGAACCAGCCAGACGCCATTATACGAGCAGTGTCTGTCAAACAAAGGGGTGTGAGCTGAGGTTGCGCGAACTGTCACGAGCAGACGGCTTTAACGCTCTCGCTGCTGGAGCTTTCCCCGCATTCGAACGGAGGCAAGGCGCGTGTTGGCCTGCATCTCATTCGCCCGGTTGCATGTGGAACTTCATCCGTGAATGAAGTAATCCACTTTGGCCCAATGATGTGGTAATGTTTAATCAGCCAGCCGGGCTGTGTGCAGTGGTGTGAGGTTTGTCGCGTCCTGTTTGCGTGGTGATAGTGGATTCGCGTGACGGAAGTCCGTGATGTCATCAAGGCCCATGCTTCAACGCCAGTGAGGCCCACATGTTTGACTACTAGTTGCGGCAGGCGCACGCAAAAATGCCCCTCACGCCGAGATACTATCGTGATACTCGAGCAAAGAACATATAGGAAACACCAACAAGTGACACTGCTTCGATTGTCTTGATTTCAGTCATGTCATCTAACAAGCCCCATGCGTTCAACCCGGAAAACGTACCGGAACCTCCACCGACATACAACCAAGTCTGCATCACTCCAATAGTGCCGTCATCCAAACTGATCACTCTTGCTGGTCAAACAGGCCTTCAAAAAGATCATACCATCCCATCCGACATTAAAGAGCAGGCAAAGGGCGCTTATGATAGCATTCACAAGTGCTTGGCAGCGGCTGGAGCCACACCACGAGACATTGTACGCTATGAACCTTGATTGAGCACTTTCAAGGCAGTGTTGGCCATGCCACTAACTTTGATGTAATCAGATGCATGTTCGACATTACATCGTCAAGGAGACCGGCAACCCGGAGCAGGATCGAAAGGATGTAGTAGATCGTGGCTGGGGAGATATCTGGATCGAATTTATGGACAATGAGGCGGATGGGCATAGACCACCTGATACGGTTGTCGGTGTTGCAAGTCTGGCGAAGAAGGAACTGTTGTATGAGTGTGAAGTTACCGCTATGATTAGCTAGGCGCTGTCTTGACATGTCATCCATGGATGTCAGACTCAGCACACAGCGGAGCTAATGCCAACAAAATCAGCGAAGAGCACGAGTGTCCACATCATTGGTGCTTTGCAATAATCCAAGTCTGAAATAGGCGCAGACGACATCGTTGCGCCCAAAAGGTTCACCGCAGAACAGCTGGGATCTAAAGCTGTTCAGGGAGAATGCATTGGAATGCGTGTCACCCTGTGGGAAGAATAGTCGAGAAGGACCTGGTAGTGAAGGCGCAGTAACAATAGCGCCTGGAAGAGATACCGGACCACGAACGCACAGATGGAGGGCGACCTTCAGAGGATGAGCTGGAGGCAATGCTTGCATGACATCATGCCTATTGTCCTAGAGACGGACCCGAGGATGAAGACAGACGGGAGGTCTTCGAATGACTTCCGAAGATAAGCAGAGTCTGGTGTGCGAGATCGTACGCGCCGTCGGCGTGTTCTGGAAGTGGTAACAGACTGACAGCCGTTGCAGGCGAATGGAGGGGCACGATCGGCTGTACCTGCCATTCAGGGCTTAATGCGACTGGTCGCGGGCATCACCACCGGCTCGCAATGGAGATAAGCACGTTACTTAGGTATATTGTTAGTTGAGGTAACTTTGTTCGCTTTTCTCATATACTTCGATCTCTCCCGTTCATGTTCATGATGGCGCCTAAATCGTTGTTGTTTCTGGCATCGTCTCTCAAGCTCCTCGCAAGCGCTCGCGATGTTACCTTTCCACCAATTTCTGGCTATTCGTCGCAGCAGATTATTGCTCATGGCAACCTTGAAATGGACATCGCCCAAGCAAAGTTTGCAGGGTTGATGACGTACGCCAATTTGCCGTATGTGCACTGTTTAGCAGCAGAAGGCCATGATGTGGAGCCGTTCGACATTGCAATTCTTGGTGCGCCGTTTGACACTGTAGGTCATGTACATTGTGTGCGCGAGACTCTGCATCGGAGTCGGGTGCATCGCAACAGTCAAGGTTAACAACGGGTAGGGCGTTACGGCACGGCCTGGGGCGCGCTTCGGCCCGAGTGGCATCCGGCAGGGCTCCAGTCGGATATCGCCAGACGCTGCTTGGTCAATATATACAGGTATGTCGCATTATGATGAGGGTGCGCGTATGGGCGTTCATCCCGCAAGCACGGACTTCGAGCGTTGTTCAAACTAAAGCAACAACGAACGGCACATGTTACACCACGCCATCTTGGCAAGTTGTGTTCTCGAGGCGTCCATTCGTGCGCTAGAATTTGTCCTGTGTACCCTAATCTTGGTCGCAGTTTCTTGTTGTCTTGATGATGCTGCTCCGTTCGCTCCTGCATGAAGCCAACATTGCATCGAGAGGCACTAATCATTGTGACAAAGCGACTTCGCAACGTACTGACTGACGGGGCTCAGGCGAGAACGTCTTCGCGGATTGGGCAAAAGTTATCGACTGCGGCGATGCTCCTTTAACATTTTTGGTAAGACATTGAAGGAACGACCAAGGAAGATTATAACTAACGTACCTGGAAGGATAACACTGCAGCCTTGAAGCAGCTTGATAAGGCGCACAAGGTTGGTGAACGCACGGAATGACTGGTTCAAATGTCTGACAACCATCGCCAAGATCGTGTCCTCAAGAGCGACCAACTCGAGCGAGCGCACGACACCAAAGATCGTGACGCTAGGTGGCGATCATACCACAACGTTGTCGGCTCTTCGATCGACTCATCATCACTGGGGGCCCGTGAGCGTAATACACTTTGACAGTCACATCGGTAAGTTCGCGGTACGGTTTGTCGAGCTTCACTGACGGCTGCGTAGACACCTGGGACCCAGAAGTACTAGGTAAGCCGAAGTGTTCACCGATCCGATCAGGAACTGACATAGTACAGGCGGAGGTATCTCCCATTATGCGTGAGTCTAATTATCAGAATTTACCCTGGACATGGCTGAAATAGCACAACAGTGGTGTCAACCACGGAACATTCTTGCACATCGCTCATGAGGAAGGCTTGATCCGAAATACTAGTATACACGTGGGCATCCGAGCTCCTGTGGTACGACCGAAAGGTGATGTGCGCAACGATCTTCGATGTGGTTTTGAGATGGTCAAGGCTCGGGCAATCGATCGATTGGGCGTAGCTGGAATCATCGACAAGCTCAAATCTCGCGTCGCTGGAACGAAGGTCTACATCAGTGTCGATATAGACGTGCTCGATCCGGCATTCGCACCTGGTAAGTTGTCAAACAAAACATGCCAGAAGTAATGATCTTCGACGTAGCAGTATTGTCTTCAGCACCCAGGTATTTCGTTACACAGCAACTGACATATGAGAATAGCTACGGGAACTGCCGAAGTCGGTGGATGGAGCACACGAGAGCTTTTATCCATCCTAGATGGTCTCGAAGGACTAGACGTCGTTGGGGCAGATGTTGGTACGCATTTTCCGAGCCCCGTTGACTTATCAGTAAGAGCACTAGAAGCTGACTGAATGTACTCGCCGCAGTGGAAGTGGCTCCCATTTACGATAACCCGGGTGAAACCACCGTATTGGCCGCTGCAGAGGTCGTTCACTCTCTAATTGCTTTGATGGTGAAGTCGCCATCTTAGAGATGATACCGTGATAACTCAATGGGGGTTGTGACACGGGTAGAAGTCAGGTGGGTTCATAGGCAGAACGATCTCTGGCTGTGTCGTTTTGTTGGGTATCTGGGCAGCTTAGCAGGCACACTATCAGCCATCGTACTGCACCGTGCTCGACACGGTGCCTACCATCTCAGAACTTGAGAATGATTTGACATCATCGTACGACCATAAATAGTACACTTCCTCGGACACAGACTGAATGTGATGGATTCGGTTTGCTTCCAAGCTTTGTGGTCTCATCGAATCGCTTCTCCACATCATCAGTGCAGTGCATGTGACACTCAAAGCGCCTTTCAGTTGACTCAGTAGAACCTAGTTGCTTTGAACTGCTACATTACACGGGCCGATAGTAGGGCGTGTGCTAGTCGACGATTGGAGACATGGACCGTCTAGAGATTGGCGCCATCAGAAGGTAACCGTCCGACTATGTTGTAACGCTTGCTGAAGAATGTATGCCAATCATTAAGGACCTGTTTTTCCTTCTCGGAAAGTCCGGAGTAGTCCGATATGCAGTCTTCAGGCTTGAGAGAAGACAGGCCGAGGGCACGGTTGGGCTCTTTCCCCGCAAACACTAGGACGATAGGTTAGTCGTTTATGGTACGACTTGATGCTGCATCTCAGGCGACAAACCGTGATAGCCCTTCCCAGGTGCGTATGTCTCCTTGCCGCTCACGTCGAACACGTCACCCTGATGATGGTCAATTTCTTCTGCGCTTGCACGAGAACACCATTGAAGAAAAGCAGCTGTAGTTACCTTGATTGCGACAAGAGTGGGTAAACCCTCGTTTGTGCCTGCTGATGGTCAGTGCCTGGCCACTGAAACGCCAGCCAGTCGTTGTGAAGCCGTACCATCACACTTTGCAAGGTAATCGCGTTCAATGACATCATCCTTCGGGGGGTTCAGTGCGACGGGTTGCTTTGGCGCAAACTTCTCCTTCTTCGGCTGCTCTGTAGAGTCTGACATGGTGGAGGTCTAAATATCGGTGTAAATGATGCAGAATGTCGGATGGGAAGTCACGATGCTGGCCTGTCTCTGGTGGCAGGTGGGGCTCCACGCCCATGCCGCGCTAGGTTAGTCGCACGAGCCTCATGTCATTTCCCGAGGTCGTCACGAACTTCCTCATTGCACACGCCACGACCAACCACTCTGTGACGCCACGCGTGTCATGATCAGGCACCACATACGTGAAGTTGATGTTCGCAGGTTTCGATACCGGCATCAATGCGCCTCTCGGAAGAGCCGTCAGTAGTTACGAGCACCATGTCTCAACTGCCCATTGGAGACACCCGCCGTTCATATGAGGCCATATGCCTGTTACCATATATTTGGTGATATGTAGGTACAATACTAATAGTGTACAGTGAATATCGCAGCCACAGAATATGGCGCCCAAACTTTCCACTCAGGACATTACAAGCGTTAGGATTCGCCGCAAAAGCAATTGAACAACCGCCCAGGCGTGCAAACAATCACGAAACCCCGACAAGTATGATGAAAGCCTCCCTTCGATATCCGATCCGACTCTTCACTATCTTGTGGAGGCGCACCTGCTTTCTCGAGCTGATAGAAGACCATCGGTCGAAACCAGGTGGTGGCTATTGCTCGCATTGCATCCATGGAACCAATTATCTTCCGCTGGCGACGGTGTACGCTGACTGGGACGTATGCACTGCTGGATCGTACTGGCTCTGTCTGACACAGTTGGTGCAGTTTGTTTCCCGTTGATCCCATGTTCTTCTAACGTTCCAAGCGCCAAAACATTGGTGGCCGGGATCGTTGCGTGCGAAATGGCAGTGTTGCATGAGTCGATACTCGTCATGGCCACACGGAAACTGGATCTTTTCGTAGAAGCACATCTCAAAGGCGCTGATGGTATGACTATCTGTCCGATCCTGTGTTCGGGAACTACGGCCATTGTCAGCTCGCTGGCCGTGGTGGAACCTGGCGAACTTACATCTAAAGCACGTGTGCGTGTCTGTCTCGTACTCGAAATCGGCGATTGTGGACACAGATTTCAGCTGGATCTTGAACAAGCTTTTGGTGTACGGAATTCCAGAAGACCGTGGAGGAAATCTGGGGAAATCTGGGGGCTGCACTTCCAAGGAGAATGTCACGAACCTTTATACGCCACCAACCCACGTCACCGCGGTCGCCATACGCTTTTCCCCACGGTCCCTTAGCCGCCATTTCCTTTGAGTAATCTCATGGACTAGAACAATACCTTGTCGCGGTGAAGTCACACACAAAACGCGCAAGCCCTCTCAAGCCGATAGATTGCTCGCCATACTGGAGACCTTGTCCAAGTTTTCCGCTCGGCGCGCACATACAGTTTTGTTGTCACAAGTCCTTTGTTACATTGCATTAGTGTGGCAGAAGCATGCACACTTCGCATCCGTAACAAAGAGGTATAGGAGTGATGCTGCAGCTACGTGAGCCTGAGACGGTCTGTATTATAATCCTGGTCCGCACAGATGCAAACTGCATCCGCAGCAGACCCTGGTCATGGATGCCGTTCCACGAGCCCGGAACTTGGTATTAGAGCCCAGTAAAAGACTACTTCAACATTCGCTATGGGCAATGACAACATCTCCCGCTAGTTCTCCGCAATCTGGTCTAAGAAGAGAGAACTGTTCTAGCTGGATCCTTCCCTTCAAATATACTGTATGCTTGAACTCCCCACATCCTACTCGGGATATGTTCGAGAGAAAACAAGATCTACCCTCCTGACAGAACTCCCGCAAAACTCAGCTGCAGCTCGACGCACGGTCGTCTCCACTACTGGAGATGTCTCCCAAGCCAATACACACCTGCCCTGACATGCATGATATTGTATCTTGAGGTATTAGCGCTTGCGAACATTCACTTACTCTCTCAGTGAAATTGCCACTGGATTGGGATATGTGAAGCGAACCATAAACGTATCAGCACACCCTCGCTTTATCCGCTTCCCCGACTGATATTTAGTACTCGAGTCGAGCAAACAGTCTTAATACAGCTACCTGCAGGTCTCGCATGAGTAGGAGGGATCATGATACACAGAATTGGCCCGCCAACCGAAACAGATGAACTGGATCTCGCTCACTACTGCACGATGTAGCAGACGAAAACTGTATGCGGGTGCGGGAGTGAACTTCCCTATTGCAGGGCACTCATGCTACGGCGAAGATCATGTCGAACCCTCGTTCACACAATTCCAAATTTCCCATCCGCTGTAAGCATGCTTCTCTCCCCGTGCGCTTCGCAATCACTAGCCGCTTCCCCGCTGTACCCCCACATCGTCGAAACACACTGGCTGTTACAACTTTGGAAATCCAAGCCATGAGCACATCTGAACACGAGTGAGCGGCACGATCGTTGAGTGGAAGTTTCGTATCACCCGGACAACGGCGTAAACCCTTTTGGTTCACGCTTGTCAATCGAGCGGTATTATGGACACCGCATCAGTAGAGCGATGCATCTACTGTCATTGGAGAACACATCTGTCCAAAATCCAACGATGATTTGACACATGAAGAAGTGACCGTTTTAAAGGGCTATAGCATGCCAACAGCACAGCAGGGCTCGCGCGGAACCGGTATTCCAACCGGCATGGAACATCACACCAAGGTATCCTTCCCTCTACCTTGCAGGCCGATGCATCCTCGTGTCACATCTGTATACAAACCACAAAAAGGAACATCGGCAAGGTCCGTCGCGTGGAAAGAGCCCGTGCTGCCCGCGAAGAGTTCGAGTCTGCAGTAATGCAGTACGCCCAACCTTTCGGCGACTTTGCTGTGACCCCAAAAGGAGACTATTCTGGGCCCTCATACGCCCAAAATGGTATAGATAAGCGATCTCAGCACGCCGTATGGTACACGTTTGAGTAACCTGACATATAACCATGGGTTGGATGAGGGAGTACGCCCAAAGGGATGAGCGCTTACTCTAGATGAGTGACTAGGTCCAACGAGACCAATCATTGGTCCTCCAAAACCGGTATGAACTGAAGCCAAGGGAAACATGTTCAAGGAGCTGTGCTGACAGCTCGTTCTTGAGCTGACCGCGTTCTCTACTCACATCGGATATGTACCATGACCGAATGTACTTACGAGTAGTTGCTACGCTGTTAGTGGAGACAAATATGGTGCAAAGAACATTGTTATGCGTTTGTGCTTTGACGATACACACTATCAAAGATGAATTAGAAGACGAGACACAGCCGACTCAAAGATACGATTGAGTGTGCTCGGTATACACGATCGATCGCCGATCGATCGCGTCTCACCGCGCGATTGCATGTTCAGACTGAGCAGTGCGATCAACTTTGTTCGAGTTTACTGACTCGAAGAGAAGCTTGAAGCAACATCACGACGCCCCTGCACCTACGGAGCTTTTACTGCGGGCGGGCGAACCCGCTTGGGCGCACCTACATGCCCGGCGACCCTTGCGGGTACTATAGTGGAGTCAGTACATGCAGGCTCCCCGTCGTTTTTTCGTTTCGTCGAAGTCGACACTGACACCACATTTCAAGGTCCACACGAGAAGTGAAACCCCGATGTTCCAATTTCGGCGCATTCTACCGAGAGAAAAAACGCTTCAGTCAGTCAGACACGCTCGGTTCAATCCGTCCAGTACCGGCACGGTTGTTTTGCCGGATGCGTCGTTTGAGCCCACTGCATACGTGGATAACAAGTACGTACGGAGCAATATAACATCCAACAATACTGTGCTATGCGTCAACAAGGTATATCATCGTCTATCACGACATACATCGTCTCGAATCCGGGTCACGCCTCTTCTGTTCTTGGGCCCACCTCAGTCGTACCGATAATCTTCCCTGTAAGACCTGCACCGAGACGGCCTAGATGGGCTACGCCAACAGGATTTAAGACAGAAGCGGAGAGTTCGAATCGAGCTGTCGAAGCAGCGGCTCCGCGGGAAGAGACGAGACTGCGGCAAGCAAAAGCGGGTACGCGTTGTGAAGTGACGGGGAACTCACCGTTCAGACTTTTCTAGGGGATAGATGGCGGGTTGAAGGTGGACACTTTGGCTGCCTGTCATGTTCAGTATCACGAAGAGTTCGGGAACATCGGGAAGGCGGGCGGTAGTGAATACATTCATAGAGAACTTAGAACAACAATTACTTTTCCATTAACATCGACGCCGTCGCTAATGCCAACAAGGAGGTTAAGTACGATCACGCTTTACCAGCCTTTCTCGCCTTCCGCGCTTGTCTCTTTTTCGCGATGATTCTTGTCCGCTGCGCCAGCTTTCCGTCTTTGCCCTTTACTGCACCGGCATCCGCGCCAGCTTCCGCAGCACCCGTACCCTGCTTTCCCTTGCCGCTGTCCTTACCCTTGCCCGCCTTCTGACCCGCAGCGCTAGAATCACGCTTGCGCTTCTTGCCTTTGGTCGCACCCGGCTCGGCATCATCGCTGTCAGCCTCGCCATCAGCCTTCGACTTTGGTGGCTCTCTGGCCTTCTCCTCGCGGTCTGAGCGCCTATTAACAACATTGGCGTTTTCGATGGCAAACTCGACAATGAGACGTTTCCGCTTGTCTGCGAGTGCTTCTTGAGCAGCCTTCTTGCTCTTTGGCGTGGGGCCAGACTTGATCTTGTAGTCCACGGCGTGGCCATTGAGCCATCGAAGACCCATGAGCGCATTTCGATGTGTGTAGTACTCGATGAATCCATATCCTCTGCTTCTTCCAGCACCAGTGTCCTCAGAAACTTTGCTACCAGCGGGCGTCTCAAAGACAACCTTGGCTTGCTTGACAATACCCTTGCCCTTCTTCTTACGCATCTTCTCTGCGACAAGCATTTCTTGACCGCCACGAATGACTTCCTCTTTGTTAAGCTTTTGTCGCTTACCCTCCTTGACATCGGCAGCAAAACCAACGACGGCGCTACGAGCAAGCTGCTTCAGGTCCTTGGATGTGATGCTGCGAGGAATGTTGCGTATGGAGAGACGAGTGAGAGATAAATGGAGCGATGGGTTCTCCTGGATTTGCTTACGGCGCATTGTTGCGCTCTCTTCGCGCATCTTGATTTCAGAGGGCGAGAGCTTCTGGTAGAGTGGCGAGTTGGACGCAATAGTTCCTTCGGAGAGAAGGTAGAGGCGACGCTTGTCTTTGTCTCGGCTAAAGCGCGAAGCAGCGCCTTCCGCTGTCAGACGCGTAGCTTCATTCTTGTCAACTGCGCGGGAGATTTGTAGGATGCGACCGTCGATGGTGTATTTGCCTGTTGGGTCGGCGTCTTCGTCTTCGAGCACAGAGTGTGTGACAGTGATGGTGGAGCCGTCCTTCTTGTCGAGGTTCTTCTTTTGTAGCTTGACACGTGGGACACCTTTAAGGCAGTTGATCATGTCTTCTTCTGCAAAGAATGAGACGAATCCTGTGCCTTTCGGTCGTTCGGTCTCGCGGTCGACCACGACACGGGCAAATCGGACGCCACCGAATTGCTGGAAGTGCTCTTTGAGACGTTCGTCGTCAACTGTGAAAGGCACATTGCGCACGAAGAGAGTGTATTCCTCACGCTTCGGTCGGTTGTCCTCTTGTTCAAGCTCCACTCCGCCATCTTCGTCATCCTCTGACATGTCCTCGTAGTCGGTGTTGCTATCGTCTTCGTCGTCGTCGCTGTCGTCCGCTTTGTCGTCGTCGTCGTCGTCGTCGTCGTCATCGGAACTGGCAGCAGAATCCTCGGCGTCTTCCATATCTTCATCTTCGTCTTCTCCGTCTGGTTTGGCATCATCTCCCTCCTGTGCAGTCTTTTGCAGGCTCTGCCATGTTTCCCGGTCCACAGCCCAGTCCACAGCGATGGGTCTTTCATCGACCTCCTTGCCGTTCAGCTCTTGTATCGCCCTCTCCGCGTTCTTCTTCCCACGTAGCGAGACGAAACCGAAACCTCTCAATTCACCATTGGGCTTCTTGGGCAGATTGACAAAGTTGACTTTGCCATAGCTTCGGAACAACTTTTGTAGATCGTCCGGCGTCTTAACGGTCCATGGCAGATTGCGAATGATCAACTTTGGTGTCTGCGCATCCTTGATCTGCTGCTCGCGCTCCGCCTTGGCCCTGTCACCAGCCCTCGGCCTCTTCTCTTCGCCTTCACGTTGTCTCGCCTCGGCAAAGTCGACCTTGATCTTCTTGCCCTTGATCTCCGTATTGTTCAGCTCCTCCTTCGCTCTTTGCGCATCTTCGACGTCGGCGAATGTTACGAAACCGTAGCTTTTCGATTCCCTGGTTTCCTTGTCCAGAACAACGAGCGCGTTCTTGATTGGGTACGATTCGGAGAAGTATTCGGTAAGGTCTTCGGTCGTAACGGTGGGCGCAAGTCCGCGAACGAAGAGTTGTCGGCGCGCAGCTTCTTTGGGCGCCGCTGTAGACGAATTGGACGGTTGCTCGGCGTCGGCGGTTGCTGTGACGGCTTCTGCTCCATCGAGCGAGAGACGCTGGCGCTTTCTTCGGGGAGCCATTGCAAATAGATGAGGCGAAAATCGTTATATGCAGTTCTGGTCTTCGGACATGCCTTGCAAAAAAAGTTCCAGTATCTCGGCGCACAGATCCACCGCGCCGGCCTTGGCGGCTGCACGGAAAAGTGGAGCCAGACCCTTCCAGCTGGAGGCCTCGACGGAGACGCCTGCGCCTGCCTCATCGTCTGCTTCCAAGCTGGATCTCCTCCCTTCAACTTCACCCACTTTCCTTCACCGTTCAGACTTGGGTCCATTCGAGTCGAATTTCGGATCGCGATCTGCTGCATGAGTTGCTTCGCCCAACTGGGGAAGCCGAGGCGTCAGCCTGCACATCCCCACTCAACCTGGGTCATGGGGACTCATATCTTCGCGCATGGCTATCTATGGTTGCACGTTACTCGAGCGATGCCGTTGTTGACACAATTTGGAGCACACAAGAGCATGCGTTTTTGAAATCCCATGCTGCCGACTCGCCACGCTATCAACGTGCATCAATCACGTAACCGCATAGGAGCTGACCTAGGTATGCTTACAACAACGGGCTGCGAGAACAACAAAGTCATGGAAGCAAAAATTGGAAATCCAGGCGCAAGTATCTTCATGATTACTCACATCAATTTGTTATCAGGGCTATCCCTTCGCGCATCACACGACTTCGCGGTCTGAACCGTAAGCCTTCACCGTTGTGGTTGCTCCAGGACGGAAACGGCCTTTTTCGGAAGATGCTCCGGTTATGTGGAATGGCCTAAATTGTGAAACGTTTCTGCTCTGAACAATTCAGTATTCCGCGGGATTGATACAGAGCGGCAGTCGTGTCCGTTGCACCTTTCCTAACGACGAGGTGTGTTGAACAGCAAGATCTGCCTTGTCTACACCCCATAGCGTTAGCACCCGGCACTCAACGTCTGCACGCAATGCCATGGATACTGCTCCTTTGACACTTCTGACACCGAAGCTACACCGGCGCAATCAAATGGCTTATCAGGCGTCGCTTAACTACTGCCCAACGTATCCTAGCCTCCCCCCGCGGCGGAGTGTGGTGCCGCCCATGTGAAGCCCATGGCACACACACAAGAGGGGTAAGCGCCGAAGAAGGATCTCTCAACATTTTGTCATCTTTCGAGAATTCAGAAAACTGTTCAACAATGTCGCGTCGAAGCTCTGGGGCAGGCGAGAGCGACGCGCTTTTGAGCGCTGGCGAGGTTATCGCATCTTCTTCTCGCAATTATTCCACAAACGATAGCACGACTCCCACCGAAGGCGATATTAGAAGAGATGGAAAGTTGCCGGGCGAGGACAAAGAGAAGCCAGTTGACCACAATAGATCTAACGACCCGGAGCGTTCACGATCTTTGGCCGAGGAAATTGGAGATGAAGGTATCTCTTTGTACGAGAAGAAATGCATGCTCATCAACCGCGAAATTGATCTCATGGGAATGGGGCGGTACCAGTGGTCGATTTGGGCGCTTTGCGGGTTCGGCTACATGATCGATTTGATGTGGGCACAAGCCTTCGGTCTCGTTCTATCGCCAATCCAACAGGAACTTGGCTTTGGTGCTGATCAGACTGGAAAGTTGTCCACTGCCTTTTCCATCGGACTCACAGCCGGTGCATTTGTGTGGGGAGTCCTCGTGGACTTGATCGGGAGAAAGGTCTCTTTTAATCTGACAGTCTTTATTGCGTGTATATTTGGGACATGCATCGGCGCCCCGAGCACTTACAACGCCATCTTGGTTCTTACAGCATTTACTGGGTTTGGTGTCGGAGGCAACATTCCCATTGACACTACAATTACCCTGGAAGCCACTCCACAGAGCAAGCGTTACCTCCTTCCGCTATTATCGATCTTCCAGCCCATTGGTGTTGTCATCTGTTCCGTCCTCGCCTACGGGTTCATCCCAAACTGGTCTTGCAGTCCAAACTTTTCGGAAGGAGATCGAGCGTTGCCTGCCTGTAGTGCTGTTGCTACAGGGGAACAGTGTTGTTCAAGAGAGGATAATATGGGATGGAGGTATCTCCTCTTCACGCTAGGGGGAATCACCATACTCGTCTTCGTCTTACGATCGGTCATTTTCACCTTCCAGGAATCGCCGAAGTTCCTCATATACCGTGGCAAGGATGCCGAAGCAATCGAGGTACTGCACACCATGGCTCAATACAACGGATCCAAATGCGACCTCGTTCTGGAGGATCTTGTATCCCTAGAGCACGAGTTTGATTCAGATCGAAGTCGTGGACCTATGCTTGGAGGTGGTGTCAAGCAGCTCAAATCTACATGGACTGAGAAACTCAAACTGGAAGGCGATCGCTTCAAGCTTCTATTCTCGAGCTTTCAGATGACAAGGTTGACGCTTTTGGTATGGTTGACGTACATATGCGATTACTGGGGTTTTACCGTTGCTGGTGAGTTCCACGCCTATCTCGCTCGATGAACATATGTTGACCTACAACGCAGGCACTTACCTCCCACAAATCCTGGCTGTGAAGAATGGCGCCCTCGACCTTTCTCTCCGCTACACCTACCGCTCTTACATCTTCATCTACCTTCCTGGAGTCCTCGGCGTTGTTCTTGGCACCTTATCTTACCGCGCATCGCGGGTTGGTCGCAAATGGACAATGGTCGTTTCTTCTGCATTGATGGGCATCTCCATCTTCCTTTTCAGCAGTGTCAACTCAGCAGCTTCGAACATAGGCTTCAATGTCATGGAGTACTTCTTCCAGTCTATGTTTAACTCCGTCTTGTATGGTTGGACACCTGAGGCCTTCCCAGCACCCATCCGAGGAACAGCTTGCGGCATCGCGAGTTTCTGGGGCAGGCTGTTTGGTATCGTCAGCCCGCTCATTGCGCAGCATCTATATGCGGGGGATGGCGCTGGAAGAGACATCAACAGCGTATTATACCTTGCTGGAGGTGTGACATTGGGCTGCGTCATCACAACGGCACTGTTGCCCAGCAATCTCGTAGGTCGACAGAGCCTGTAGAGGTGCGGATACATGAAGGGGAGGAAGCTTGTATTTCATTCAAGGCACATGGGTCCTTAGGGATCTTACATGGATGTCATGCCTCGACAGGAAAAGATTCGGACGTAGATAGGGACATTTGTGAAGCGTTCGCCACTGTAGATACCCGCTACAATACGTAGCATCCATTACTAGTACGAGACAAGCAATATATGGGTAAAGCAATCAAAACAGCGAGTGTCTCAGTCGATCTCATGTGCCCGGCCAGCCGGAAGGCTGACTTCACAGAGCTCGTGCTATTTCTCTAGTATTCGCATGTTTCTCGTTAAATTGACGTAACCCAATACGGTCCGCTTATACTCCTCAACGCCGTCGATGCTCGTATCGTCAAGATCATAACTTCGTCTTTCCTGTCACTTCTGCTCTCCTTTGTTCCATTACGTACCCACTCGCAACCGGATTGTAACCCTGACTAGCGACTTGTGGTATAGGAAACGGCGGTTTCTTCAGGTTCTGGGTGAAGAAGACTGGATGCCGTATTGCGCTGTCGTACACGGGTGTAAAGAAGGTGGCTGGTGTTTGCGGGGGACCGAAAGGTGGCATGGCTTCGATTTGGGATCGCGGTCTTACAGGATTCGTAGGCGAGCCTGAGTGTCGTGTCGTAGACTGCTGGGGGACCTGGGATGGCGCGTGGCCGGCGCGTCGTTGTTGGTGCGCGTATGAGGGTGCTGAGGACTGCTGGAGAGGCTACATCATGTCAGCAAGCATTACGGAGTTACGATAGAAAGCGGCGGACCTTTGGCCTCGAAGGCTGCAGAGTAGAGATCATGTCAGGTTGCTCGCGCGAGAACGACCCAGCCAACTCTCTATCCGTCGCAATAACGATGCGGACCCTCAGCTATCACGTACCTCGGCAGACAACGACCGCGCGCGACGTCATTCCTACTTCGTCGCGGACACGGACACTTTTCCGCTGCGGCAAACACCACCCAATCCAGACCAAATATCCACGAGCATGAGCGCAACAACATCCATCTCTCGACATGCGCAGAACGCAAGCGCTGTTCTTTGCAGCCACGCGATGCGCAAGCCTACATTCTTCACGTAGACTCTATTCCTCGCCGCCTATCGTCAAAATCGCCAATGGCACATTCTACCGCCAGCACCCTTCTTCAAAGGGCGATAATGCGCCTTCAAATCCATCATTGTTCCCCGATTTGACGCTATCTCTACCCTCTTTCTCGACACCAAATCAGCATTGGGCGATTTTGAGCCCATCTTCCGACATCCGCACCGCATTTCTACAAATACTTCGCGGCCAATTACTTTGTTTCCCTCCAACAGCGCGGTCTTTCCCTTACCTCCTCACTCCAGCCATCGCCGAGGAAAGGCCACGCCTCCGCTTCCCAGAGCGAGCCATCGAGTATGTGGGCTTTGATGTGGAGCGGAAAGCTTTCGGTGGCGCCTATCTATCAGCACGGTATGAGTCTCTGAGAGAAGATACGGACTTCACTGTTCAAAGGTACCTAACCGGTATCGTGACGATGAACCCTGGAGAAGAGGAACTAAAGGCAAAGAGTGTGGATGAAGAGGATATGACACGGGTTATGCGTGATTTAGAACTGGAGAGGTTCATCGACAAGCCGGTCAGCATGCTGAGCAATGGGCAGAGCAGACGGGCGAGGATTGCGAAAGCGCTGTTGAGTAGTCCTGAAATGCTTTGCTTGGATGCACCATTTAGTGAGTTCTGATTACATACATGCACTGTTATTACATGTTTAAGAAGAGTGAGCTGACAGCGTAACAGTTGGACTTGACCCCATCGTTACAAGGCATATCTCCAAAGTTTTGCACCGACTCGCAGAAGCTAACGCACCACGTATTGTTCTCAGTCTGAGACCGCAAGATGAAATTCCAGAATGGGTTACCCATCTCGTTTACGCAGGAGAGGATGGGAAGGTCGAAAAGATGGGGCTGAAGGAGGAGGTGCTAGGTCACCCACAGATGTATGGGCAAGCTGAAAGCATTGGGGATTCGACGCGGAGTTTCATCAACACAGAGAGAGGCGAAACAGGACGACTTCCGTCTGGAAGAGAGCACTCTACAAGATCATCGGATGCGGCAACATTGAGTCGCGATGGCCACCAAGATACCGACGATTCTGTACCCGAGATTGGCGAGGCTATCGTCGAAATGCAAGGGGTACGCATAGCTTACGGCCAGAACTCAGTCTTGGGAGATTGGCAACAGGACATCGACGGGTTATCACAATCCGGGCTGCACTGGAACGTCCATCGGAATCAACGCTGGGGTATATTGTAAGTATCCATGTACAAAACACGTGTGAGGCATATATTAACTTCGTACTCCTACATCTAGCGGTGCCAACGGCTCTGGCAAGACTACACTTCTATCGCTCGTAACATCAGACCACCCACAGACCTACTCGGCGCCCGTCAAACTCTTCCAACGCTCGCGTTTGCCCGAACCCGGTGTCCCCGGTATCACCATATTCGAAATCCAGTCACGAATGGGTCATGCGAGTCCGGAAGTCCATGCCCTGTTTCCGAAGAGACTCAGATTGAGGACGGTGTTGGAAAGTGCATGGGCGGATACACCAATTACAAAGCCAAGACTAGATGATGAAGCGAGGAAGAGAGTTGAAGCTTGCTTGAGATGGTTTGAAGCTGAACTTAGACCTGGCTTCAGTGGTGACGGAAGTGCGAGTCTGGATTGGGCATCTGACACTCTATTCGGTGAGGTATCGTTCTCCGCTCAACGTGTACTCCTCTTCTTGCGCGCCACGATCCGAAACCCCGACATCGTTATCCTCGATGAGGCGTTCAGTGGCATGGACGACCTCGTTCGCGACAAGTGTCTTCTGTTCCTTAGTCACGGTCAGGGTATGGAGCTTGTATTCTCTGACAGTGGCTTGAAACCGGTGAAATGGGAAGGTGAGGTTGTGGTTCCAGGATTGCAAGAACATCAGGCCCTACTTTGTGTCAGTCATAGTAAGCATGAAGTACCTGGGTGTATACGAGAGTGGGTTTGCCTGCCTGAACCAGGCACAGGACCACCAAGGTTTGGCCGATTTGATGGGCCTGTGGAGCTGGATGCGGGACGGTGGAACGAAGTGTGGAATGAAAAGCACTAGATTTTGACACCATCGTATTTGAATCAAAGCATATATACTATCTACTGTTGGTGCTCCTTCATGACTTCCTTCCTCTTCTCTCCAAGCTTATCCGACCGCTCCAGAATCTCACCAGCCAGTCTCTCCAGATAAAACTTGGAGACGTCGACTGGTAGATCCTTGAATGCTCTGACAATCTTCTCCACATCTCTTCTCCCATTCTCATATGCTTGCAGGTCCCTGTTACCATATACGTCTTTCCCAGCCGCGTATCCTTTCTCCAAGCCCTTCCAGAACACATTGACTGCCACGCTCACGCCATCTTCCGGCGTAGCTGTATGACTCCACATGGGTGGTATGAATAAGACATCACCAGGCTTGAGTGAAGCAATGTGCGGATGAGTGCGCCGAAGCCTTTGGTCTTTGGACGTCAGGACATCAATATTGGAAGACGAGCCCCCAGGAGGGAAGCCTAATAGAGAAACATCGGTAGGTGGGTAGAGAAATAGCGTTTTTGAACCGCGGACTTGACACAGAATGTTGGATAGAACATCGTAGTGTAGCCATAAGGTCACGGGCCCTGAGATGCGAAGGGGCGAGCTGTGGTAATTTTCCTCGACTAGATTGCATACGTCTGGTACGCGGAAGTCATCGGATATAGTCGGAAAGTCATCTTCGAGTTTGGTGGGCAGCTTGTTTGGCTGGCTTGAAGATATAGCACGAAGATATTCGTGAGACCCTTCTGCGATACCGTCTAGGAAATCTGCCACTGATTTCTTGACGTATGAGAAGTTTTTGTCCTTGAACGTCATACGGTCTGATGTGCATTCATGAATGACAAGTTCTCTCTCTGGACCAAGCTTTTCTTTCAGATAGTCAAGTGTCCAAAGGTCTGTGCACGGGCCGATATCGAGGCCTTCGATGATGGCCGGTTTTGACGTAGCCGCCAGCTTCGCAAAGTCATCTGACAACTGAATCTGCACCCTTGCGATCTCGGTAGTACGTGCAGTAGTAGTAGGTCTCTTCTCCACACCACCTTTCTGTCGCCGACCTTTGGGTCCTGTTCCAGTCGCGTTCGCTTGTGTTGTGCCTGCTGTGCCTGCTGTGCCGCTGATCTGACTCGGCACAGCGCGACGCCACGACTTGGCCCCTTGCGCATTGTCAGGAAGGATGACGATCGGGTCTTCATTCCAGTAACTTCCCATTGAGAAACAGACTGCCCCTCCTCCTGCAAGCACAATCTCGCCTCGAGAGGTTGAAACGGCCCCTACACCCACTAGCAAAGGCCATGTCGTTGGCGGCAAGGCCTGCATACTGGGATGCTCCACCTCGATGGTCGTGCCCTTGCATGTTAAGAGCAGGAAGTCGTCTGATAGAGAGTGGATATGCTTCTTTGAAACACCTCCAATCAACAGCAGAGAATCGTTCCACGGAACTAGACTGGCACCTATACGCGCGTATGCAGAGTTCTCCAAGCTGCTGCGAACGTCATTGGTGCGGTCCTTAAAGTTGAGCCTAGGTGTTGGTGTGGCGGAAATGGACCACTCCCACACCGCGTCTTGTACGACCACGCCGCTCTCGTCTTGTCCACCTGTCAGCAACCCCCAATCTTGAGCAAAATCGATCGTGGACATCGCGGCGGCGAAGCGTGCAGACGGGCGCGGTCCGTCGACGGGAATGCTGTTCCATCCGCCGTTGGCAGTCCATAAGGCACAGTAGTGTTCGGCATCGAGTACTGTGCCGTCACTGGCTTTGCCACCAAAGACAAAGACGCCATGGATCTGTGATTCCCCACTTCCTAGTACAACAGAAACAGCAGAATGGCGGTACCGGGCTGGCATCAGGTCGTCCACTTTGGCCCAAGCTCCCTGGTTGAAGAGCCAGCAATCTGCATAAGCCTGGGTGGGCGATCCGCGGCCTCCGACCAACAACGCTTCACCGTTGCGCATTGATGTGATAGTATGGCATACGCGGGCAGCAGGCAGCAAGCCACAAGGCTGGATGGTACGATCCCCGTTATGATCCTCCCGCGTCAATGTGTCCATATCGGCGAGACGGGCTTGCGTCCCTTGACCTCCGTGGAAGGCCACAGAGTCCTTGTCGAAAGCGAAAGCTGCTGTGAAACGACGTGGCGTCACGGCACCACCACCCGATAATTTCAAGGTGTGAAGGGTAACACTTCCCGTATCAGCGGCTTTCCTGCACCCTGTGGTGGCTGTTGCCTCGCCATAGGCTAACTCAGTCGGTCCACTTTGCTCTGCATTTGAAGCGACGAGTAGGAAGTAATGACCCCCAAAGAGCGCAAACTCTTCCCACTCGTCAAACGGCTCCACTGCATTCAGCCCGCGTCTAAGGGTGGGAGGGGTAAAGCTATCATCAGACCATAGATCCCACAGATTGCGGGCCATGGTTATTGTGGGCCATCCTGCATTACGGAAACGAGCGGCTTGCTGGTTAAGTGATGAATGCAACTTAACCGCGTTGATTGATGCTTGTAGCTTGTCGAAGTGAGACAGCATTGTCTTGGCAAAGGGATGAGCTGGGCCTTGCGGAAGGTACTGTTCTATGCAGTATGAAGTCAGTATAAGCGAACTGGTACATACACATGAAGGAATGAATACCTAGTATGCAGAAGCGAGCTACAGATGTTAGCATAGCTTATGGGCAGGGTTTGACGAATCTGCATACCGTCTTCGATAGTACTAGCCCACTGTATGAGAGCATCAGAGTCCTTTAGCGGCATGTAGGTCACAGACACTTCGGCGACGAACAGGATTGAAGACGAGGGGACATCGAATTCGGCCCGCAGAAGTCGTTCGAGTGTGGCAAGGTCTTTCAGATCGCATCCCAGAGCCATGTAGCTGTCGCTACGAAGATATACAGGCTGTTCGGACTGACGGAGTTTGGTCCTGAGCAAGGCGTCTCGAAGAAGACCATTGCTAAGCATGGTATCTCTCTTGCGTTGCATCAATTGTGGATAGTCGACGTCGACGAATGTAGATGATTGCGTGAGGGCCGGATATCTGTGCCAAAACTGGAAAGGCAAGGGATCACTTTCCGGACTTAGTAGCTTCTCACTGTGTTAGAGTCGAGACGACGGATGTCTTACTCACTATCCACATCCTAGGTTCACCACAATCTTGGGCTTTCCGTTCTCTTCTTCGAGAAAACGACGGACTACTTGTTCAATAGCATGCATTCGTAGCCAATACCCGCGATTAATCAACGGATCTGAAGGGCATCAGTCCATGTCTCAGGTGCAGGTGGTATCGAAGTGACGTACTGCGTCGAACGAACTTTGGTACAAAAGGCTCATAAAAGTCAGGCTCATTGCTGAGATAGAGTTTCGATACGCTTCTCTTGGACACAATGCTGCTGTCATTCGTCTGACATTGATATTAGTCCAGTGGCTACGAGGATGCTATGGGCGGAAGAGGCTGGGGACCTCACGTTCATGATATCCACATCTCTTCTCTCGCGCAGGGATTTCTGGTTACCCTTGCGCTTTGCAGCAGCCTTCTTGGAGCGCATCTTGGCGTCTTTGGCCATGTTCAGGTCTTCACGATGGGGTGGCCATGGTCTTGGGAGAGGAATGCTTTTTGGAGCACCAGCCACTACGCGGGGCTAAGCTGACGTCGGCATCCCTGCATGGGCGCGTGAACCATCGTCAGACGGCGGTAGCTGCAACCTACGACCAGGCGCAGGCTATCTTTTTCTATCACTTGCACCGGCGTATACACGCATCGCTATCGGCATCGCAATCGCTCGGGCCTGCGATTACCTTTGCGCACCCGCTTGTAGGGCTTGGACCCCCGCGAACGGCGGCCAACAGCTGCACCGAGCTATCACGCGGATAGTCCCCAGCCCTCGCAGCACCCGGAACCACGCAGCCAACGCCAGACTCCAGCGATGAATTTCGTAACCTTCAACCAGGACCACAGCCATCTAGGCGTCGGTATGCGCCCTGTCTGCTACCCGCCCAATATATACTAACCTAATCGCACAGGCACGCCCAATGGCTACCGCATATACACCACCGACCCGTTTAACAAGCAGTCCGAGTCGCGCGAGGGAGATGTCTCCAGCCTCGAGATGCTCTTCTCCACGTCGCTGGTAGCCCTCACGCTGTCGCCACGCGTGCTGCGCATACAAAACACCAAGGTTCGTCGGACAGGCGACTCTGGCCAGGCACGCACTGACAAGCACAAGAGGCACTCGACCATATGTGAGATGACATTCCGGACGGCCATCCTCGCCATGCGCATGAACAGGAAACGCATCGTCGTCGTGCTCGAGTCGGAACTCTACATCTACGATATAAGCAACCTGCAGATGCTCAAGACGGAGAAGACGTCGCCTAATCCTAATGGTACGTCGCAAGAAGCAGCACTTCACACATACTGACTGGCATAGCGATATGCGCTCTCTCAGCATCGTCCGAGAACAACTACCTTGTGTATCCGCTACCCACCAAAGCCGCACCCGCTACCTTCCAGCCGCCTTCGCACGCGCCGCCCAAAGCCGATCACATCGCACCCACAAGCGGAGAAGTCCTTATATACGATGCTACGAAGATGGAGGCAGTCAACGTGATTGAGGCGCACAACTCTCCACTCTCTTGCATTGCGCTGAACAGCGATGGTACCCTGCTAGCGACGGCATCGGAAAAGGGCACCATCATCCGCGTCTTCTCCATACCCGATGCGCAGAAGCTGTACCAGTTCCGGAGAGGCTCCATCCCGGCCAGGATATACAGCATGTCTTTCAACTCGACATCGACCTTGCTTAGTGTATCGTCGGCGACCGAGACTGTCCACATCTTCCGCTTAGGAGCGCCCAACAGCAGAAGTAATAGCGTATCTTCTGGGCCTAGCAAGCCCATGGGCGCGTCCCATGCACGTAGCGGAAGTCGAACGAGCCAAGAGACAGCGGATGAATTCGGTGCCAGCATAGCAGATGTATCGACTCCGGAGCGGAAACCCATCAATCCCACTTTTGGGAGCTTGATTCGACGCACATCGCAGACCGTTGGAAAGTCCTTCGCCGCTACCGTCGGCGGATACTTACCCAGCGCTGTAGCAGAGATCTGGGAGCCCTCGCGCGACTTTGCGTGGGTCAAGATACCACGCTCTCCGACAAGCTCTTCCACGGGACCTGTGAGGAATGTGGTAGCGCTGAATAATAACGGTCCTCAGGTTATGGTAGTTACCAGTGAAGGCAACTACTATGTGTTCAACGTGGACTTGGAGAAGGGAGGCGAGGGTACACTGTACAAACAGTACTCGTATGTTGTCCGTTAGTGTACTGCCTTTTGATACCTGCTAACGTTGACTGCAGCCTTCTTGAACCGAACGAACTCGCAGCAAGCAACTCACAGGATTTGCCGGAATAGATATCCCACCACATGGCCCGATGCACTTTCCTTTAAGCCTCTTATTCTTCTTCTTGCATTGCCTCTGGCGTATTTGGTCCCACATTATTCCCCACGGGTTGGCGCACATGCCTTTGGAGTAGCACGATAGTCTTGATTTACGCATAGGTGCATACTGAGCATTCCCATGGCTCGGCAATATTACTTGCTTTTTGCGGAAACTTTGATCTCGACAGTGATGTCATGCAAGTAGTACAGTAGAGAGATTATCGAATCTGGCGCTTGCATCGTGCATGAACAGATATCGTGCATTGCTCTAGCGCGTTCCCGTGCCCCGCCCACGCGTCATTGGCCGCTGCCTGAACTCCAACCATAGTGCATTTATTTCCATCGGCCTTGAAACTTCTTCACACCACTACGCTTCTATAAACCATACACGAGCTATAACTACCTTCACGAATCCCTTCATCCACTCCGCGAAACTTCGACGACTACAACGCACCCGGGATCCGTAAAGATGGTACACCAGAATACTTCGGGCAACCCGCTAAGCTCGGGTTCGCTCGCGCTGTTCATGGCAACGTCGCTACCAAAAGGCGAATCTTCACAGCTCAAGAATGGCACCGCAGCCGTCGCACTAGCAGTACACGCCGGCATGCTTGCTGTTGGCTTCCGCCTGATCGGGCTGGGCGAAGACGAGCGCATAGGTAAGCACCCATCTCATTCACCCTTACCTTTACACGTCATAACTCGGGAACTTATAGAAGCGCACGCAGACGCCGAAAACCCAGAGTCGTTACCGAAGGAATGGAATGCGTCATCCTCATACGCTTTCAGATACGCCCACGCGCAATCAGCCATGGAGTACCTCGTCAAGGTCAATAGGTTGGGAGGCAAAGCTGTCGTATACGCTCTCGCGCTCGGCGATGACAAGACCACACATTTCGAAGTCACGACCAAGGACTACATATCCGAATCACAATTACCATTCAGCGTGTCTGAAGATATATCAACGGAGCAGGTGTCGGAGAAGGTGCAAGAACTGTTCATCTCGCCAGGCAGGCTGAACGACCTCGGCTCGCTCCTCAAGATATCTGTCATACAGAAGCTGGCACCCGGGCTGAACAAGCCAGGCTACGAGGAGGGCAACACCGACCGGGAGCGCACCCCTACAGCGGATCGGCAAGAACCACAACGAGGGGGACCCGCAAACCCACGGCAGCCCCCCACCGAACCGGAGCCCGCACGACCATACCCTTTCAACGATCCTCTCGCCGCACAGCCAGGCTCGGGGCGGCATCTACCAGAACCCATACCTGGCTTTGACGACGAGTTGGGCATGAACAGACAGCCCGGTCGCATGCCCGGTAACAACCCCATCAACATTGGGCATGACGATTTATATCCACAGGGTCTCGGACCTAATGATCCCCTTCGGCCACACCTAGCAGGAGGGCTGCCACGACCCGGCGGTTTTGGCGGCGGCGGGATGCATCCCACCTTCGATGATCCGCTGTTTCGCGGTCAAGGCGGACAGGGTGGATATGATCCCAGAGCACCTCCGGGGGCGCGTTACGACCCTCTAGGACCAGGCGATCCACTCAGAGAGGACAGAGGGAGAGGTCCTATGTTCCCAGGCGGGGGCGGCTTTGGAGGGCCTGGTGGTTTCGGCGGAGCAGGTGGACGACCGCCGAATCCATTCGGTGGCTTTGGTGATGGAGACTTCATCTAAGCACCCAACAAAAGATTGGCGACTGGCAGAAGCGATAGGTGAAGAAGAGAGGACGAACAATTCACGAATGACGATTAACACGGCAGTATGATACGGCGTAGTAGTTGACGTGCATGCGGCACAGGCAGGGCAGTGCTGCACCGCCTCAACACTGCATCTCGGTGCTTGCGCAGGTACGATATGTAGATGAACATGTATTATATTTAGAACGACATACGTCAATACCCATCATGACAGTTCCATATCGAAGTCTTTCTGATTGTTCATGCGATCAGCGAAACCCATCGAGCGTCAGTGCTGGGGCTTAGATTCCTCACCCACTTCAAGATACCAACGATGAATGCAGGCGAAGCAAGACCAGCGCTTCTAACAATACCGATGCCTGGACTCATGCGCCCTTCATCGAAGTAAAGTTTGAGTGGACAGGCGTCTCCCAGACGATATTCTAGCCTTGGGATCCCAGCCGCCAGCAGAAGTTTCGCAAATGCCTCAAGGCATTCCGGTGAGCATCGTCACTGACTCTCGCTGCCTGGCAATAACTCAGCTTCTGCCGAATACCAAGCGGAGGTGTATGTGATGAGGTAGAGTCACTTGGCCGTAAGATATGCCTGCCAGTACCTGAAGTCAAGGTTTCCATGACCAACGAAACATCCATTGGTATCTGCAAGGCATGCTATAATCGTGTCTAGACTGTGGTGTAACACGGTACGCATGAAAGATATAGTGTATCATCACGGAATGGTCCTTCACTGTACAGCTGCAAGGAGCCTGGGTGTTGTGATTGGAAGCAACGAGACCTCTCGCTTGTACCGGGCCGCCACTGTGCAGGCCCTGGTCGTTCGAAAAGCTACCTCACCGTCATCAAAGACAGAGATTCAGGCGGTGAAGCATGCTCTCGCAGTGATGGCTGGTCTCGGTCACTCTGGCCTTTCGCTTGTCACGAACTCACATGTTACATTCTAATCTTGCTATGCAGTCAGTGCAGTAGTCTAACCCGCTGGATACTTCCAAGGCTCCTGTCTGCATGACAGAAGCACATCGTACCAGAAGCAGGCTCCTGCGTAAAGCTAGGAAACCCCATGTACAAGGAACGAGATACGTAGGTGGTTATGTTGTTTCACCGCACAATCTATGTCTTTTGGGGAAGAAGAGGCGAATCAAGCTACTACCTGCCTACTCCTTAGCTCCTCCCAAAGTCCTATACACATGGGCGAGCTTTTTGATGGTGTCTGAGAGCTTGATTAGGGAATAAGAGACGAGCTTCACGTCATGGCACTACCAGCCGTCTGCTAGTCACCTTAGTTTTGCGCCGACACAGACTCGCGACGCGAATGGTGGCTTACTGACTCGCTTTGAACATACAGTGGGAGTATCAACCATGGGCTCACCTTGGCCTATTTACCACATCGTTGCGTCGCACATATACGGCTGAGACCAAAGGATCACCCTGACTGTGGTGGCGACCGACTGTATACTGCCGGTGGCTCTACCAGCGGCTGATGTCTCGTCGATGGTGGCTCATGGTCGACTTAGGCAGCGTCGCAGTACCTACTTTTCTGTATCTAGCATGTTTTCCCCAGTATCAAGCGTCATATGGTGTGATACTGGGAAACAACGTTTGATGTCAAATAGCGTGGGGTCTGAAAGCGCGCTTCCGGCGCACGGGCGTTCGGGGAGCGCGAAGAACGACCTCAGCGATTGACCTGATGTTGCGGGCTGAAGACATGTGCGGTAAAGCTCGTAACGATAATCGGCGGCGTAGTGTCTGGAGGATTGTCGCACTTTGCGTCAGCCACTGCGGAGAGCTGATGCGTCTTACCTGCTTCCAGAAAGCAGCCTCACCCGTGAGGCACAGAAGCTTACCTTCACATCCTCATGATCCTACGAAGTCTTCTCGACCCATCTCCCCTCTTTTTTCGGCCCTGATTGAATACACTCCGAAAGGCGCCAAGGGCACATCGTCTCGCCCTCCGAGCCAATCAGTAGGAAAAGTGCGAGTACCATGCACAATTGATCTTTACCCACATGGACCGGTCACAGTGACAATCCAGCACGGGAGCAGACAGCCTACAGACATGGGAGATTCGGATGCCGGCATCCTTCTTACTTGCTGAGGCCTGTCTGCCGTGGGCCGTCGCAGGTCACGGCGTCTAAGCGCGAACGGCTGAACCGTTGAGAGGGTAAATTTACCGCCATTCGAGACCAGTGTTAGCAAGTATAATCGACTTGTCACTTTCCTGTTTCGCATGTCTCCTGCCTAGACAGGCCAATATGCGTTCACCTATCCCGCTCGAATTATGCAAATATCCATCTTTTTGTCTCATCCCACCGGCCTAAATAGGGCTAAATGCATGGCGGTTGCTGATAACACTGGTGTGATGCCGGTCGGCGGGCGGCTGACGCGTAATCAATGGCCACGAGAAGGCACAGTTCATCACACGTTGTGGCAACGGGCATATGCAGGATGGGGGATGGAGGATGCCATTTCTCAAATTGCAAAGATGGCGTCGATCCGGGTGTGACCGCTGTCGCATATTTGCTCTTGCCTGAGTTGGATTGTTGGACTGCAGGGATTTCGTGTTGGTCTCCTACCTCTCGGCTTCGTTTCGCTGCATTTTTTTATCCACAAGGAACGCTTTGTATAGCTCGGTAAGATTTGTCCTGCAAGAAGCATCCTGCCGGAGTCGTGGACATGCGCGTGCCGGCGTCGTTGGTCGGAATTTCGTATCGATTGGTGTGACAGCGTGTCTGAGCGCCGAGAGATCGCTACCAGTCTGCTGGATGTGCTGTCATCTGCAATGCAGCTTGCGAGCATCATAGCTCGACATCGCCGTCTAGTCATTTGTGTTTTCGATGCTCGTACGATTTTCAGGCAGGAAGTCAGGGTTGTGCTTCCCCGCAAGCGAGATGAGGAGATCCAGGCTTATCCCCCGCGGAGGGTTCTTGTCTGCGCTCGGTTTGCGTTCATCGTTTGCTATGATCGGGCGGCGCAGCTTCGCGCCCACTAAGTCGACGATCTCGGCGAATCGGCCGTTTGTGGACAGCAAACGCTTGCGGGAGTTTCCAGTTGCCGCACCGATCTGGCTGTGCCTCACCGTTGTGAGATTGCAGAAAGGGGGCCGGGGGACGCGGACGATATGCATCTCTCATCATTTCTGTTTGACATTTGAGGCTCAACGACAAGGCTGCTTCTGCAATCGTCGCAAAACACGGGGCTACAATATTGGACGGCGTCCTGCCACAGTGCCGAAGCAAGGGAAAGGCCGTAGGTATGCCAAGCGTCCTAACTGTTTGAAGATGGACCCCGAACCCAGCGAGGCTGATTGTGAAGATGAACGGAGATGCCGCCAACATTATTCGCGGACATGCTTAGAGGATTTAGTCCGGCATCGTGAGGGTGATGGTATTCATGAATCAAGCGCTTGGAGTGATACGGACCCTTCGAACACCGCTTCGCGTCGGACCAAGTTATACTTAGACTGCACATATCTCGATACCCTTACTGTGTCTAGTAAATGGCATGTAAGCCTCAGAAAAGGGTTTAGCCTCACATTGAGGAATTCTGTCCGGTGTTGAGCAGTTTGTGTTCCACGCGCCCAAGATGTGCGGACTAACTACGAACAGCATGTAGCTCGCCGCCTTCCTCTTCGATCGTGGATGGCCATCTGCCAAGTCACCAGAGTTACAGTAGGATCACAAGCGTACCTACCTCCTGGTACTCGGTCTGGGTTTTGCATAACATTAGTGTCGCGATACAGTACCACATATAGTTCCAAGGTTCGGCTTGCATCTTGATTTGGTACGCTGTCCGTGCGTTCTTCGATGCCATTGGCCGGGGAAGAAGCATACCGTACCCGAACGTAGTAAACCGTCTTGGGAAATTCGTACGGTTGGTACATATACTTGGAAGAACCCTGATGAGCTTCTAGTGGATACCGGAGATATGTGATATAATTCTCCGTTTCAATTCCCGAGCATGAAAACAGTACGCTGAGCTAACGAAAAAGATCGTGTGGTACAGGTGTGGTTTACTGATGTTCAAAGTGGGCCCTGTATTAAGTGGACAAGTTAATACTGAAGAGTGCAGTCCGGATTTTCTGACCTATGCAAAATACCATGCTTCCAAGGTGAGAACAGCTTCCCTGTTGATAGCTCCACTGGTTCTGCAGGGTATTGTGTAGCTTCGGCACTCAGGGCCACTGCAAGAGTCAGGCTGGCGCTGTATGTGGGTGGAGACTGTCATAAGCCCTGAGCTGCTCCACTGCAGCCGGCGGATCGATTGAGGCCGTTAGCGCCATACCCCTGTTCGACGCGCGAACAGAATTTGCTGAAGACCGAAGTGGAAGGGGGGGCCTGACCAGCTGTGACCTCACGCACTTTCCAAATGACGAGACGGGCCAGTACAACAAAGTAAGAGTAGAGAAAGAGAGCAAGATTATCCGAGTTCGTCTTCTCATTTTCAAACTATGTCATCATACCTTCACAGGAAGCGCATGTGCGGGCTGAAAACACCCACCATTCGACGTTGTTTTTAGCTGCACTGCACACACCTCTAGCGAGGCGGCGTCTATCGCGGACTGTGGACGCGGCACCAGACATCGCTAGCAGGGGTTTTGCGGCTCGCGCGGGCAGCGGAAGCATCGCGGCAACTCCAGGTTTTTTAACGCCTTACCGATCGACTCGGAACCTAGAAGCGCCGTCTAGCGCTTTGGGGAACGCGATTCGCACAACATAGCGCCAGGAAATGTGCGTGCATGGCAACCGCGTGGTGTTGCGTCCAGTATGTATCCAGTGCCATGTGTGTGGTTTTCCAGTAACCTGTACCAAGGTTTGCAACGTCAGATTGCACGAACAGCATTCGGCTGTCTTCTATGTGGTATCGCAATAAGCAGGGACACAGATGACTATGGATTTTGACGTCGCTGGGGTTTCTTCCACGGAGGCGGAATCTCTTCTTGCCACTAGGCTGCGAGAATGCACCGGCGTGATCGTCAGCCAGC